TCTAAGTTCAACACTCTGCGCTACGCAGCACTGTCTCGTGCTGACCATCGATGTCTCCTGCAGCCTGGGTTCTGAGGTGGCACTTTCTTTGGTGGGACTTCATCTTGTGATCAGCTTGGAGGCAGTGACACCTACTGGCTTCTAACAGACGGAATGGCTTTGTAAACATGTGCAGTGAGGAGGTATCTGGCTTTAGGGGGCTCACGTCTAACTTCCAGCTCCACACTGCATTAGCTTCTGTTGGAAACACCACGCTGCAGGGGGAGGAACCGAGCCCAAGATTTCTTAAGCAGCAAGCATCTATCTGACAGTATTCCTGCAGTAGACAGATGCCTGAAGATGTCGTGCTATTGTAGGCAGGCACCAAACCTAACAGCCCCTAAATCATTCTGGCTTTGGAAAGTGCTTTGCAAACATCAGCCAGTGCCAGGTGTCACGTTCAGGCACTTACAGGCCCTGATGAAAGCCAAGCATACTACGTTGGTAACGATGGACCTGAAGTGCCTGTTCTGTTATGCCCTAGCAAGAGCTATTCTTTATTCTTTTTTTTTTTTTCAATTTGGAGAAATTAAAACTTGGAAAAAGAGTTGTCAGGAAGAGTCAAATCTTACGTTGGCAGAATGAAGATGGAATTTGGAGCAGGGCATGTATTACATAATCTCCCTAAAGACACCCTGATTTGGTGTTAGGACACTGGCTCCTCCTGCTGTGGGATAGATCCCTGACCACTCCCCACCCCCCACCACAAAAAAATACAATGCACTTGAGCTTGAAGTTTATGTTTATTTCCTTTCCCATCATATTTCCTATGCCTTCTTCAGGGTTCTGGGGTCTTAGGGGACTGCTGAGGCAATGCCTGCACAACTCCATTGCTTATTAAGACAACTACAGGAGGCAGCTAGGTGGTACAGTGGATAAAGCTCCAGCCTTGGAGTCAGGAGGACCTGAGTTCAAATCCAGCCTCAGACACTTGACACTTACTAGCTGTGTGACCCTGGGCAAGTCACTTAACCCTGATTGCCTCACAAAAAAAGAGGCAAAAAAAAAAAAGAAAGCTACAGGAGGCACTGACTCTGAAGACAGATCAGAGGCACATAGGGACCTTAGGGGTCATTCTAATACAGTCTTTTCATTTTGTGTTTGAGGATACCACCCAGAGTGGATAAGTGACTTGCCTATGGTTACACAGTATTATATGGTAGAGCAAGAATTTGAACCCAGACCCTCTGGCTCCACATCTGGTGCTCTATTTCCAGCTCTTGATACAGACTGAGGGCCAGTAGAGTAGGTCTAAGTTTCAGTGTCTCTCTCCTACCAACATAGAGCAGCAGGTTGTCCTTGGAGCAGATTGGGAGGCCTGGGAAAGATATTAATGTAATCTCATTATGCTGAGCTTGTCACAGGGCAAAGTTGTATTTGATTATTCCAGAAATAGTCCAACTACCTTTGTTATTAGAACAGGGAATAAATTGACCTCCAGGGTGACCACATAGAAAAGCAGCTCCAGACCCTGACAGGACCACAAAATATTCCCCTGGCCACGTCATGGCAGTGTTGTGGTATATTGCTCAGTAGCAGTATTTTAGAACCAGGTTCAAATCCATCCTTTAGCCCTTACTAGCTCCATAACCATTTCTAGCCACTGAACTCTCAGCCTAAGTGTTCCTCATCTGTAGAATGGAGATATTAATATTTGCCTTCTTCATGAGATTGTGAGGGTCAAAAGAGAATGTATGTAAGGCACTTTTTCATAGTCCCTTGTGGTTTTTAGTGTTTAAGGTCTGAAAAGTCACAGTAGAGTGATTGTTTCAGTGTTGTTTTAAAGATAGCAACATAGTCTCATGTACTCGCCCTCTACAGATGGGCACTTTGCTCTTCTCTACTCTCAAGAGCTAGAATTCTGCCTTTGCCAAGGGTAAAGGAAAAACTACCCCAGCCCCTGAGCTCACCATGGAATCCTAGTGTCCTCAGATACCAGAACTGGGAGGGATCACAGGGACTCCCCATCCTTGTACAGAGGAGATTTAGGCTCAGGTAGGAATGACTTGGCTTACTGCCACACAACTAGTACATGGAATAATCAGGCTTAGAACACAGACTTCCTGACTTTGGGCCAGTGTTGAGCTGAGTAGAGAATGTAACATTTGGAGTTATTCACCCACCTACTTACCCTCTATTAGGATAGCTGGGTGGCACAGAGGGTAGAGCATCAGGCCTAAAGTCAGGAAGACCTGAGTTCAAAGCAGGACTTGGACGCCTACCAGCTGTGTGGTCCTGGGCAAGTCACTTAACCATGGTCTGCCTCAATTTCCTTATCAGTAAAATGGGGACAATGCCACCTATTTGTAAGGTTTTTGTGAGGAACAGATGAGATAATTGTAAAGTGCTTAGCACAGTGCCTGGCGCACAGTAGGTGCTATGTAAATGTTATTATTATTATGACTAGGATTTAAAATGTTTTAATAAACTTAATGAACAATTTAATGATTTACATCTGAGATAAGAGACAATAGGAATAGAAGAGTCTTCACAAGGTTAGAGGAAACCATACTAAGGGAGGCAGGGGATTCAATGTTAAGGTGGTAGGTAAAGTTCTGCCAAGGGGAATGAGCGTGTTGAGCGTGTGTCAATCAGTGTTTGTAATAGAGTGAAATAATTTAAGTCATTAGACAGGAAAACTCAATTTGGAAATAGATGTAGCTTTCATTTTTAGAAGATTGGCTTTGTATTTTAAAGTTATTGCTTATTTTTACAACGTTAGAGGCTTTCAAGGTAGGCCTTAAAAGTTAGCCCCCATTTTGCTGATAAGAAAATTGAGGTCCCGAGAGAAAGAGGTATTGTATTTTGCCAGAGTTCATACGTGTAGCAAATTGTGGAGTTTATATTCAAACTTGGGTCCTTACACCCCAAAAGCAGTGCTTTTGCCACTGATGTTCTTTCACATTTATTTTTGCAGATGTGTCAGAAATGTTATCCATTTTGGTCTGTTTGTCACATTAATTGAAGCAGAAAATTCTGAAGTCATTGTGAGATGACCCATTTCCAGTTCATCAAGTCAGTCATGAATTTCTTTAGGAGATATTTTTGCCAGGATATGTTTGGACAGTAGTTCAAAATACAGCAGTTACAAAAACTGCAACCAGATTTTGTATTCTCAATATTTTTCCTTGGCCCATTATAATTAAATGGCATAGCAGAGTTTAAAGTTTTTTAACTGCTTTCCATATATATGCAAAGTAATAGGACTTTAAAAGCAGGATCAGCATGAGAAATTTAAAATACTGTGTTGAGAAAGAGATATTTTTTTTTTATTCCTAAATAATTCTCTACTATAAATTGTATCAGAAGAAAAATATGCTTCAGTGGGAATTACTGTTCTTAAAAGCTAGGTTATTATCATTTCTATATTCTTAAGTGAATCCAGACTCACTTTGGTAAATTCATTAATGTGACCTTTAAAAATCTCATCAGCAAAAACGTCTTCTTGGCTAATTCCCCCTTAACCCTGAATTTCATCACGTGATAGAAAGAGATGGTTGCCGGCTGCTTATGTTATAGCCAAATGCTTAGTAATAAAGGATTGAGAATACTGGCAATCAGTCAAAGTAGGCCTTAAACTTTTCTATACCACACTGTATGTATTAAGGTTACATAGTTTGAAATTAAGACTTTCTGCTCAGTCATGGTAACTTAGATCTTTATTGTATTATAAATGTAGATTACTTTTTTTTTTTACTTTTGTAAAAAGTCATATAATACCTTTGAAACTTGATTGCATTTAGTTTTGGTTTTTAATTAGTAATTTTAATTCCCCCCACCCCACCCCCGCCCCAGTTATAATTATTTGACCATTCACTAAACTAGTTTCTAACATAGGTATTAGAGGTATTTAGATGAGCCTGGATCAGTGGTAATGTAGAATTTTGGTAGGCTGCCTGAGGCAAAAACTGTCCTGTTTTGGTTTGTTTTTTAATCTGTTGTTTCTTGGATTTTGTAGATGGTTCCCAAATGTTTGTTGATTAAAAATGGGGTGGGTATGGTGGTAGAGTTGGTTGTCTTTGAAGTGATAAAAATCCACAGGAAAGAGTTGAGGTAAGATTTGGGGGAAGAATGATCAGTAGAGGCATGATGTCACTTGTTAGGCTTAGATTAAATGAGATTCATCTGACCAGGATTTGGACTAGATGAGAGCTCCTGAACATTTTTGTGTCCTGTACCCTTGGGCAAGTCCAGAGAAGCCTGTAGACCCTTTATCAGAATCATGTTTTTAAATGCATAAGATAAAATGGATAGAATTACAGAGGAAACAAAGAGTTAGAAAAAAATAAGTGTCTTTTTTTTTCCATGGACCCCCTGAAATCCATCCAGATACCCTTGGGACTCCAGGTTAAGAACCCCCTAGACTGAATGATTCTTAAGTTTCTTTCCAACCTCTAGGATTTTGTTCTTCTCTGGTTCACTTGAAGAGTGGATAAGAATCCATAGAAAACCAGTAGTCATGAAAGTCGTGTTTTGCAGAGAGGAAAGCCATTTGAGACTAATTATGGGAAGCAGTAGATTGGGCAGGAACTTTGGCCAGATTGTAGTTTGGGTTGTCACTGTTAGGTTGGTTAAATGTTCCCTGTTGATCAGAATGGTTTTTGTACTTATTTGTACAAGTTAATGTTGACTGTCCTAGATTACAAACTCCCAAATGATAGTTACTATGTCTGTGTAAGTTAAAGTGTTCTGACCAGAGGGCTGCTATGTAGACCTATTTTCAGGTGCTATTGGAAAATTTCATAGTTGACTCCTCTCCCCTCCTTTTAAGTAGGTGTGAATGAGGGTACCTGATACTGCTTGGGATATAGTCTGGTCTTCAGTCCTCTCATCCCCAGGAAAAGCCAGGCACATCTTTGTCAGCGGTTTTCCCTTTGACCCAGCTTTGTCGCATGTGTATCTCTGTCCAGCCTCTGGTTCTGATCCCTCCTCCTTGTGTCTTCATATTTCCCTTGCTACAGAGACAGGTAAGGGCATTGCTTATGCACTGAACGACCTCAGCAGCCCCGGCATGACCTCGGGGAACGGAAACTCTGCCTCCAGCATCACTGGCACTGCCCCCCAGAATGGTGAGAATAAGCCGCCACAGGCCATTGTGAAACCCCACATCCTGACGCATGTTATCGAGGGGTTTGTGATCCAGGAGGGGGCGGAGCCTTTCCCGGTACGGACTACTTCTTTTCCCCTTTTTCAAAAAAAGTTTATTTTGGATGTGTATTAATTTTTCTTTTTAACACTTCCATGCAAAGTCCTGAATATGATAACCATTCTTCCTCTCTTTGTACCATGTCTTAAAAGCCCATTTCTTTCCAGGACCAAGTAAGTATTCATCCAGATCCAGATTGGCTCAGTGAAGATAAATTAGGAAGTTCCCTAGGAAATCCACACTGTTCCTGGTCAGAGAGGCATCACTGACTATTGTAACATGGTCAGACCTGTGAAAGGATCTTTCTGGTAGTTGAGGCACAATATTCTTCTTTGGATTGGAACACCTCCTGTCCCAGTACCAATGTGAGAATCAGTAGTACGACTCTTATTCCCATGGTACTTAAAATTGAAAACACAAACTCAGATGGGAAAGCATATGGCTGACTAGCTGAAAAGCAAGAGGAACCTTGTAGAAGCAAATTCTTAATATCCTGCATAAGTGAAAGATTGAAAGAACAGCCATGTAATGGGATCGGGCAGCAGCTAATGTCAAGACTGGTATGGAAAGACACCAGGGTCCCGGAAAAGCCCTTCTCCAAAGCAGAGGCTCTCAGAAGACCTTAGCGGAGAGGATCATCAGAAGTGCTCTGTCGCAGCAGGAAGCTGTGTGAGGGGCGGAACATGGTCCAGTGGGAGCTGGGTTGACTTTGGAGTTAGGGATTTGATTCAAATTCTGTCTCTTTCACTGACTACCCATTTGACCTTGGGCCAGTCACTTAACCTCCTTGGGCCCCAGTTTTCTCATCTGTAAAATGAGGGGGCTAGATTAGAAGGTCTCTAAGTCCTTTCCATATCTATATCTTTATCTCAACTACTGACCCCAAAATATAGAAGACCAAAAAAGTAGTTCCTTTGAACAGCAACAACACAACAAAAAAAAACCCAAGAGGAACTGGAGGAGCTGTTTTGAGGGACTTCAGAACAGATAGTTCTTCTGCTTCGTGATTGCTTTACAGGCTGAAGGGACCCAAAGCCATGAGTGTTTTAGCACCCCTTCCAACTGTAGGAACTCTGGCCACCAGAAACATTTCCACCAGCCCCCTAGAGATGCCAGCCTGCTTTTCTTTACCATTTTCTCCTGTCCATCTGGAAAGGATCTGGATGCTTACCAGTAGGCATCTTGCATATAATCTTATGATAGAGGAACCGATACTCTGAATAATGATAAAAGATAATACATCTTGGAATCAGCTGCAGGGTGTTGTAGACCAAGAACAGAGTGGGTAGAAGTGGTCCAATCCCAGACTGCCCTACTACCCTGGTTGGACCAGAATGTCCTTCCTTAAGCCTGTGCTCACTAGAGAACGCTTGATTCTGGGAAGACTATTTAGGGAAACCAACGAGCTTCTAAAAGTAGTGCCAGAGAGCATTATTTAACCCGCCATTCATTCCCTGGATCTAAGCACTGTGTGATTTTATGGTTACATTTGCAAGCCATGTTCTGTATGTCAGAGGAAGAATAGTTGCAGTGAAGAATCCGGGCTAGTGTCCTAGCAGCCCTTGGGGTTGTCATGTGAATTTGTGACTGGCTTTCCGTTCTCTTCTCCCTGGCCTTTGGGAGCAGGGTGGCAGAGGGCTGAGGAGAAGAGTCATCATCAAGACAGCACCTCCGGGCCTCAGCTGATTGTCATGGTTTATTTCTCTTATCACTTCTCAGTCTCACTCATGTGCTGGCTAGTGCAAAGGAAAAGAGAAGGAGCTTGTGCCCCTGGGCACTTCTGAGAGTCAGCCTATTCTTAGCCTCTTGAGCCAGTCATTTGTTCCCATTTAAAGTCAACCTCCCCATTTGGTATTCTGCTTTGTGAGTTCCAGGACTAGGGTGATGCCAGCAGCCATGAATGCTGGCACCAACTGAGACTTGCTACTGTGAGTTGTGGAGACCAACTAGTGTTTGGCACCAGAGCACTTCCTATATATTATCTTGATGAGGATAGAGACCGTGATATGACATTGAACTGTGGGCTGTCCTAATCTCCCAGGCCCTGTCTTCTCATCCTGTAGGTGGGACGTTCGTCCCTGCTGGTGGGGAACCTTAAGAAGAAGTATGCACAAGGGCTTTTGCCTGAGAAACTCCCACAGCAAGAGAACACCACCACCACCGATTCAGAAATGGAGGAGCCCTATCTGCAAGGTGAGTGTGCCAGGCTTTGAGGTTACTGGTCTTGTTCTCTGCATTCTCTCCTGACACCTTAGAGGGCAGTAGTGGCTCAAACAGGCCTAGACAAGTTTTTCTTGATGCCTGATAGGTGAACTTGGGAATCAGGGAGCCTGTGTGTATCAACCTCATGAGCTTTTAATCACAGGGTCCTGTTGTCTTTTCCAGTTTCCTCCCTGGCCATTTGTCCCCTCGAACTGCCTGCTTTTCCCTTGCAGATTGTTGGGTCTGCTCTGGGAGCCTGTATTAGAATTCTGTGAGGCATGCCACTCCGATCGTGGATGACTCCAGTGGTCTGCTTTCTAGGGCAGGAGGAGTCAGCTAGAGAGGGGTCAGGGAGGGAGAAGGAAAGTCACTTGGTAGTTAGATGGAGGATGGACTGGAAGTGGGGAGAGCCCTGAGGCAGGCAGACCCACCCCCCCCCACCTCCAGCAGCTATTGCAATAGTCCAGGCATTAGGTGATGAGGGCCTGTATCAGAAGCTTGGCAGTGTCAGCAGAGAAGGGAGCATATTCAGGAGATATTGCAAAAGTAGAATTGACCAGGCTTTGCAACAGCTTGGATGGGGGTGGGTGAAAGAGTGAGGAGTAAAGGATGACACCTATTTTGTGAGCCTGGGTGACTGGGAGGATGGTGGTTTTCTCTTGATGGTAATAAGAAGGGAACTGTGCTTCTCAGCTCCTGTTTGACCCTTGGACTCAGAGCACTTGAAAAAGGGAAACCAAGAGAGTGAATTCTTACAGGGGAATCACAAGATCCCCTTGGGTCGTTCCAGCCCAAAAAAAAAGCCCCCAAACCAGACAGTGGAATAGCCTGAGTCCTTGGAATTGCCTGTAGTGATGTGGCAGGGCTGCTGCTGGATCTGGCAGCTATAGGAACACACTGAAGCGCGTGGAGTAAGGAACCTGCTGAACAGGAAGGTGACCAGCACCCTCTCAGACTAAGAATTCGTTGTGTACCTTTCAGAATCCAAAGAGGAGGGGACTCCCCTCAAACTCAAGTGTGAGCTTTGTGGCCGAGTGGACTTTGCCTACAAGTTCAAACGTTCCAAACGCTTTTGTTCTATGGCGTGTGCCAAGAGGTGAGTGGCCTCAACCCTGCTGCCCTGCTCTCCCCAGCAGGGAGAGCATTCTCTCTGACACCTTAGAGGGCAGTAGTGGCTCAAACAGGCCTAGACAAGTTTTTCTTGATGCCTGATAGGTGAACTTGGGAATCAGGGAGCCTGTGTGTATCAGCCTCATGAGCTTTTAATCACAGGGTCCTGTTGTCTTTTCCAGTTTCCTCCCTGGCCATTTGTCCCCTCGAACTGCCTGCTTTTCCCCAGTTTTCTCCTTTCCTTTGTCTGAGGCATCCTTAGTTTCTGGTCTTAATCTTACCAGGTTCTTGATGCCTCCGAGGGCTTTTCTGCCATCCCCATCTGCCAGAGATGTTTTCTGTTTTAGTGGCTGTAATCTGCCTGCGTTAAGCACACACTGGATAGGACTCAGCTGTATCCAGTGAAAACTAGAATCTTGAGGCCCAGGGCCTAGAGCCAGAGCAGATTAAAGAGCATCCCAGACATAGAGGACAGGCAGTAGCCTGTGAGTGTAGTTCATACCCTCCCTTCCTGAGGCCTGTGCCAAATCCCTGTCATAATGCCTTTTGTTTGAAGCTTTCCCTGAAGTCACAGCCCTTCTTCCCAACTGTTCCCTATATGGGATTACATGACAGCTCAGTAACGATTGCAGGTAACTGCCTAATGTTTCTCCTGTCCCATGCGGCCTCAGTGGCAGAGGCAGAGGGACACCTGAATACGAAACCCTCGGTTTCTGGATTGAGGGTAGAGCTGCTTAGGGTCAATAAGACCAGTGATGGGTAGGGATCTCTGAACAATGTCCTTACTGTTATCCAACTCCTTGAGTAGAATTGGGCTATCTCAAGCTGTGTCCAGGTGCCCTGGCTTTGCCTAGGGAAGACCCAGCTGGACTTGGTGGTGGCCTTACTGTCACCTCCCTTCACAGTGCTCTCCAGTTGGGAGCTGAAGGGCAGTTGGTGTTGGCTACTCAACTTCCCAGAGGCCTTAACCCCTTTCTCACTGGGCTTGGGCAGGTACAACGTGGGCTGTACCAAGCGTGTGGGACTCTTCCACTCTGACCGCAGCAAGCTGCAGAAACCAGGGGCTGCCCCCCATAACCGCCGGCGAGCCAGCAAGGCAAGCCTGCCAGCACTGCCCAAGGATGCCAAGAAGCAGGTGAGAGGGCTCATCGGCCCAGCCCCCTTCCCATGTACTCTTCCATGCCAAGCTGGGCTCTGGGCAGCCTCTCCAGTTCCTGTAGGCACTGTCTGGTGCAGAAGCTGCACTGTGTCCTTTACTGTGCTCTCCAGTGCACAAAACCCTCAGCCGAACTCCCTTTGTGCTGGGTGCCATGCTCGGAGCTTCCTGGCAACCCTCAGGCACCTACATGTTCATGGCACTCCGATGGTCTTTCTTGAGCAATAACAGGGCCAGCCTGTCGATCTCAGAACCTCAGATTCACTTCTCTCCTTGAGGGGGAGGTAAGATAATGTAGGCAAATACAAAAAAGGCCAGACACGATGAGTACATGATGGAGGCAGTGTGGCCCAGCGGGAACGCACTGACTGTAGTCAGAGAACCTGTATTCGAAGCCCACCTCTTGTGCTAACTACCTGTGTGGTCATGGGCAAGTCTCTTCCTCTCTCGTCTGTATGATGAGAGAAGTGGACTGGATGACCTCTAAAGCCGGGCTCCTGCCATCACTTGGATTTTCGGGGCTCCCAACCTTTCACGAGGTGGCTTTCCCTTGTGTCTTGTGCTCCTCGGAGCTGACCGATTCTACCCCTCTCCTTTGAATCTTGATATGCCTACTCCAGGGAGATCTCCTGAACCACTTAGATTTCCCTCCTTTCCCCAATACAGAGATGGGTTGTCCAAGGAACCACGTGCTTGGTTGTAGAAGAGTTGGGAATTCCTGGAAGATGCTGAAAGAGATTTTCCCTTTTTCCCTGCCCGCATCCCCCTTCCCGGAGTGGTTGGGGAGCAAGTCCTTGTTCCCAAGTACCTCACCCCAGCCCCCAGCCCCCTAGTGCTGCCGCCCAGGAGGGATCTTGCCCTTCCCCAAAGCTCAAGCTCTGTGTTTGTTTCCCCAGCCTGCAGGGGCCGTGCCTCTCTCAGTCACAGCAGCGTTGCAGCTGACCCACAGCCAAGAAGACTCGAGTCGCTGCTCGGATAACTCAAGCTACGAGGAGCCCCTGTCGCCCATCTCGGCCAGCTCCTCCACCTCACGACGGCGCCAGGGCCAGCGGGACCTGGAGCTCCCCGACATGCACATGAGGGACCTGGTGGGTGTCGGCCACCACTTCCTGCCCAGTGAACCCACCAAATGGAATGTGGAAGATGTCTATGAGTTCATCCGTTCTTTGCCAGGTAGGAGCCCCAGAAGATCCCTTCTCCTGGGAACTTGAGGGTCTCACAGTTGGACGTTGGGAAGGGACTGCCGCACTCTTGCTGGCTCTCAGGTGCTCTTTTTTGTGTAGGAGGGAAGAAGGAAGGGGCATTCTGAGGCACATTACTGCCCAGAGAGAATAATTGATCTCCCAGCAACGGCAGTTGAGAGCCATTTCCTGGGAAAGATCCAGCCTCGTTGCCCTTGTTGTGAGCGCTCCTGCTCTGCCACCTTCTTTTGGCCCTTGAGCAGGGAGGGTAGTGATGCTTCCTACCTACAGATCTCTTTTTACTCATGCCCCCACTACCAACTTCAACAGATTTGTCTTCTTTTCCAGGCTGCCAGGAGATTGCAGAAGAGTTTCGTGCCCAGGAGATTGATGGGCAGGCCCTGTTATTGCTCAAGGAAGACCATTTGATGAGTGCCATGAACATCAAGCTTGGCCCGGCCCTGAAGATCTATGCACGCATCAGCATGCTCAAGGACTCCTAGGACCTGGCCATGGAAAAGACCCCTTCTCTTCTCCCTGGGAGCTCCTTGCACCCTAACTGAGCAGAGCACAAGAAAATGTTCCCACGGGGCATAAAGAAGGGGCCATGATCCTCCTGGGCATGGCTGAGGAGGAGGGGCTCTGTCAGCCTCCTCCCTCACCCTCAGGGCCCTTGCATTTCTGCAGGAGAGGACGGAGGTAGGCAGGTGGCTGCAGAAGTTGGGGCATTGTGCTTGTAAATATTGGTAGCATCAGCTTCTTCTGAAGTCCCATGGCTCTAGCCCTGCTCTCTTCCCTGTCCACCCTAGCCCCCATCCTCACCCCTCAGAGGCACAGGTGGCCAGAGCTCCCCAACCCAAGTGGGTAACTGTCAAGGAAGACCACCAGGCCTGGACATAGGCCAAGGCAGCCATTGCCTGCTTCATGCCCTATCCTTCCCTAAGCTGGTTAACTCTTTCTTCATCAGCTTCTCCCCCTTCAGCCTGGTTCTGAAATAGCCAAGAATTCCCCCATACAGGCACTGCTATGTATAGGTGGAGAGAGAGAAGCTGGACCTGATTTGGCCACGCCTGCTGGCCCATACGCCTTAACGCTGTGTGTGTGACTGTGTGTGAGAGCCCGGACTGGCAGATGGGCTGAGTTCCTTCCTTCTGGCTTTATCCAGGTGTCTTCTCAGTGCTTTGTCCTGGACTCCACTCACCCTCAGGTGGAGAATGAGGGAGCTGCAGCCTCAGCACAGAGGCCGGGAGGGTCTGTAAGGGAGAGGATTGGGGATTCTTCTTTCTGGACTCATGAGGCCATCGTGACATGCTACAAATTGCTTCCGAATGCCCTGCTTTCCCACGAGCAGCATTAAGGAAAGGCCCCTTGTCAAACGCCAGCATGAAGGGCACGGCCTCTTCCATTCACACCACCCCCAGTGGCCAAGGCCTTGGGGACCCAGGGACTGTTGAAAGGGATTGCACAGCTCTTGTGTCACGGTTGGTCTGAAAAAGGCCATCTCCTCACCTCCTCTTCCTGCACCTCTTTGCCTCTAAAACTTCCCAGCATCCATTTGGGCCTCTCAAGAAGGTAGGGTGGGAAGGGAAAAGAGCTCCCCCCACCTCTGACTCACCTGGCCTCATGCAGACTGGGAAGGGGTTGGGGGAGAATGGAGCTTTTCCCTGAACAAAGTGGGTACCTCCTTCACTTGAGCTATTCCTCACCCTCTAGGCAGGGTAGAAATGGGAAATGAAGGACTTTTTAGAGACCTTTTTTTTTAATTAAATAAATCTCTAAAACCTGCCTTTGCTGTACCCTTACTCCCCCACGGGCTTCTGCCTCCAGGCTTGAATGGCAGTGGTGTGGCTCCCTGAGGACTTGGCAGTAGAGGTGGCTGCCCCTGTGCCTCAACATCATATAACATTGAAGGGCAAGAACGGCAGAAGAGCAAACAGTGTGCGGCACTAGAAAGGAGAAGATGGCATTGACTGGATGGCCGTATAGTGAACCACCTCCACTCCGCTCCTTGCAGCTTCCCGTTATGGCGCAGTGGGGAGGGGAGGAAGCATTGGCCTTGGACTCAGAAGTCCTTGCTCCGTTCACTAGCCAGAAAGCACACTTTGGGCAAACTGCTACCTGTGCCCGCCCCCATAGGCACAGTATGAGTGAAACGCTTGAGAAATAAGAGCAGTTATTGTAATTACCTGAGGTAGGGAACCCCCCTTCCCCTCTTCTTTTGGGTTAAGGCATTGTCTCCAGGAAGTCCCTGCTGAAACGTGTATACATAGCACCATTAGTTGGCTAGGTAAGCCCCGGCAAAGGGCAGATATGAACACAAGGAGGGCAAAATCTGATGGAGTTTGAGAATATCAGGAGTGTGGTAGAGTCTTGGGGGAGGTTGCCAAAGTGGGGAGAAGATCACCCTGAGGGGATGGAGATGCTGAAAATAAATGGTGTCTGTGCAATTAGAGCTCAGGTCAGCCCTGGCCACAGGAGCCCTAAGGGCTCCAGCAGTGTGAATGAAGAAAGGCCAAGGGGTGTCAAGTCACTGGCTTCCAGCCCCTCCCTGGGTTTTGGCAAATGAGCAGGGTTTGAACAATAAGAAAATAAACCCAGGAGGTATTTTTGGCCTTCTTGAATACTTTGAGAATTGGTAATTCTGTCAGTCTTTGGGATTTGCTGTGGCTGAAAAAAGTCGCTACTTATGAACTGAAAAAGTTGATCTCTTGTATTGCGGTCAATCTTGTGATGATGAGCTTGGAAGGAAGACCATGGCCAGGCCTGTACTCAAAACCTTTCCAGTTCATGCTCTGGCAGAATAGCTTTTGATAACCCAAGGCCACTTCCATGTTGCCATAAGATTTTAGAAAAATATATTAGCAATACAAAAGAAAATTATCCAGAGAACTTAGGTGTAGACCCATTTCATTTGTAATGCTTGTCTCTACAGATTGATATGCTAAGCACTGGGGAATAATTAGAAGGGAAAAAAAGACACCTGGACCTACCCAGGTGCAGAGTGCTCTTGGAGCTTCACCATAGCCAGTGGGATCCCTGCTGAAAGAAAAGAGCCCAATTTACCCCTTACCATCACACCCATGAGAGCCTGCCAGTCAGCCTGCTCATAACAACAGAAGCACCCTGTTCTGATGCTGGCTTGAGCAATTGTTCTCAGGGCAAACCAGGGGTGATTGACAGAGATGGATGTTGAAATAGCATCCCAAGGGACAGGTACCTCTCTTAATGTGTCAGGAAAGGGAGGGAAGGACATTATGCCCAGGACAAGCCCATGGCTCCGTGAAAAAGTGGGGCTATTCTCCTGGAAAGGAAAGGATAGAAATAGGAAATCAGTAAAACATATTAGCACTTCCCTAGCTTGACTTAAGGTCCCACTTTGCAGAAGGAAGGGGATGAAGAGCTTGGCGCTCTCTCTGTTTCTCCATCCAGCTGCTTGGGTGAGACCAGAGTATGTAAAGGTGAGTCTGGAGATCAATTTCATGTGTCTATGACACTGCATCAAAGGCCTATATGAGTGTCAGGGAAGTCATTCTGAGGTTCATTAGTATTAGTTAAGAAAAAGTCTCCAAGCCTTCATCTTCCAGGGCCCTACACTCCCCTTACTGAGGGGCTAAACTAACCTTCCTCTTTCCAATCATTGAGATCTTTTCCTGGGAGTCGAAGCACTGGGCACCCGATGAAGAAGAGTGCTGCTGCCCCCCCCCACCACCAAAAAATAAAAACAACTTTCAAATATCTGGGCAGCTCTGAGTGTCTAGCACTGTCCTTACTTGCCCATACCCTGGGATCCGAGAGCGAGACTTCAAAGCCGAGCCAGGTATAGTCAGCATTTATCAAGCGTCCGTGTGCCAGGCACTGTGTGAAGCGAAGCACTTCACATCTGATTTGATCCTCACCACAATGTGGGGAGGTAGCTGCTATTATGATCCCCATTTCACAGTAGAGGAAACAGATAGGTATAGGTAAGGTGACTCACCTAGGGTCGTGGAGGCAGGAAGTGTGAAGCAGGATTTGAACTCTCCCCAACTCTGGGCCTGGTGCTGTATCCGCTGTACCAAGCAGCTGCCTCCAAAAGGCACTGCCTTGGCCAGGACAGCAGTGGAGCACAAGTGGAGTGGGCTGGGAGTCAAGAGGCAAATGTTCTGGACCTGGCATCCCACTTTGCTAGGTGTGTGACTTTGGGCAAGTTATTTCCTCTTTAGGAGCTTCTGTTTCCTGTTGTACAGAATGAGAAAGTTGGACTAGGTCATCTGTAAGGTCTCTACCAGCTTTAGGACCCTGATGCTTAGGCACTGTGGCCTGTGTGACCCCCCCCCCCCAGTGTGGCCACTACCAGGCTGCTCCTGCAGCAGCAGAAAAGGGTCTGCATTTCACAGGTAGACACTCAACAGCTATCATTCATCTGAGACTGAAGGGAGTGGATCCAGACTTAGGAAAGCCCTTAACAGGGAGCTGCAGCTACAGGTAGTTGGTGCAAGGCTTCCCGGGATAGGTAGTCCAGATTCCTCTGCTTTAGCCTCTTCTGTCCCTTCCCCGCTTCCCACTGGTCTGTGCCTTCAGTTCCCCACCCTCTCCTTCCCCACACGTTAACCCCTCCACTTCCTAGTGCAAAATCCCCTCATGGGAATCCTACTGCTTTCAGAATAATTCTACTCAGCCCAAAATAAGCACCTGAGGAACTGTCACAGACCCTCTTTAATTTTGAAAAGTACCTTTAGGGGCAGTTAGGTGGCACAGTGGTTAGAGCATCAGCCCTGGAGTCAGGAGGACCTGAGTTCAAATTCAGCCTCAGACACAATATTTCCTAGCTGTGTGACTCTGGGCAAGTCACTTAACCCCAGTTGCCTCACTTTAAAAAAAAAAGTACTTTAGCGAAGTATGAAGTGCTGCACTTGGAGTCAGGAGAGGTGTGGGTTCAAATTCAACCTCTTAACAGGTAACTGGCTTTGTGGGTGTTGGTGATTCACCAACATCTCTGTTTTACCATTTGTAGGATGGGGATAATGATTTGTATTTATCCCGTAAGGGATGGCCTGGTTCAGACTCAAGAAGGCCAAGATTCAAATCTTGCCTCCACACGTACTGGCTGTGTGACCTTGAGCAAGTTATAACTTCCCAGTGCCCCTAAAGTACTTTTCAAAATTAAAGAGGGTCTGTGACAGTTCCTCAGGTGCTTATTTTGGGCTGAGTAGAATTATTCTGAAAGCAGTAGGCTTCCCATGAGGGGATTGTTGCACTAGGAAGTGGAGGGGTTAAAGGGTGGGGAAGGAGAGGGTGGGGAACTGGAGGCACAGACCAGTGGGAAGGGGGGAAGGGACCTAAGACTTCACTGTTGCAGAGCAGGTGCCTGTCTGCAATGGTAGAGGGAATGTCATTACAGAAATTACAAATCCAGGCTGAAAACAAAATCTGTCATATGGAGCTGTTGTGAGGATCCAGCGAAGTACAGATGATCTGTAGATAAAGAGCACGATACAAACCTTAGAGGTAGTAAACAAGCACCTACTATGTGTCAGGCACTGTGCCAAGGGCGTTATAAAGGTATCATTTTATCTTCACAACATCCCTGAGAGGTAGGTGCCATTGTTACCTCCATTTTACAGATAAGGAAACTCAGCCTGAGAAATTGTGACTTACCCCCAGTTATCCAGCTAGTATCTGAGGTAGCATTTGAACTCAAGTCTTCCTGATACCACCTCCAGGCTCTATCCACTGCGCCAGGTGCTGAAGATATTTAAAAAAAAAAAAGGGAAAAACCTGGTTCCTGCCCTTTGTGAAAGCTAATTGTTGGTAAATGGTCAATAGAACATCTTTTATCTAAAAGATAAAGCAAGAAGAAACTTACATTTTCCCCCCAATGCCTGAAGAACATACTCTTCTACTCTACCTTGGTCTTTTGGGAGGGGAATAGGCTGAACTTAGCCCATCTCCAATTTCCCATCCACAGACAGGTTCACAGCTGAATGAGTCCTTGTCTCAGCTGCTGCTGAGCTGTGGTCCTGAAGAACACTTCTTTCCCCTTAGGGCAATGACAAATGAGACCAAAGATTGAAGCTTTCACAGGGCCATAGGCCTCAGTGGGAAGAAGATGCCCACATCTTCTCCCCTTTATAGGACGGTCTCACAGTGCTGGCAGAGGAGTCACTGAGTGAGGAAGGGGATGAAGCCAACAGACCTTTTGGAATGATTCCCCAGCCAGTCAAAGGACTTCCTTGTTGACACGTGGTGAGCCAGCTGGAACCAGCTACAGACTGTCTGCGCCCTTTCCGTGGCACTTCACTCAGCGTGACTCCTGGAAGCAAGCTCCCTCGCTCTTCCGTGTGGAGAGATGCCATCTAAGGTATTGTCAGATGGACAAATTTTAGATTCCTCAATGGTTCATCTTCTCACAGTAGCTCTACTGTTTAATACCTGCGATCATTTTTTTTTTTTGGTGAGGCAAACAGGGTTAAGTGGCTTGCCCAGGGTCACACAGCTAGTAAGGGTCAAGTGTCAGAGGCCAAATTTGAACTCAGGTCCTCCTGAATCCAGGGCTGGAGCTCTATCTGCTGCGCCACCTAGCTGCCCCTAATAACTGTGATCTTGAACAAGTTAGCTTCTCTGAGGATGTGGGCCTAGAAGACCACTAAGGCACCTTCCAGTTCTAGATCTGTGATCCTTTACTACAATGTGAAAGGGCTAGGCTACATGACTTGAAGTTCCCTTCCAGCTCCAATCTACCATCTCATCATCCTACTGAAAAAAAAAAATTGCCCAAGGGGATCTGTTGTTAAGTGAACTTTTGGTTTGTCAGGAGGTGTCCTAAGTTGATGTGTGGTCTGTAAGGTTCTTCCCTGCATTCACTTAACGATGTGCTCCTTATGGCACAGCTAGGTGGCGCAGTGGATAAGCTCTGTCCTTGGAGTCAGGAGGACCTGAGTTCAAACCCAGCCTCGGGCACATAACACTTAATAGCTGTGTGACCATGGGCAAGTCACTTAACCCTGAATGCCTAGGGAAAAAAAAAAGATGTGCTGCCTCCCTGTGATGCCCCTGTGGCTCTAACACTGAGCAACCCTCACCCATAAAGCATCCTTCTTTTGGTATCAACACATAGAAGAAGGGCTCCCAGAGCCGGGGAGAAGAGGATGGGGTGGCCTATGAGAGGATGGCCATCACATAAAGGCTGCCTGTGTTGCTCTCCACAACGGACTGTTTCCCTGGGTACAAATTTATCGGAATGGAGGCTGGGGGAGTCATTAAAATGCACCCTCTGCCTCCTATCATGAGATATCTAGTTCTCCCTACCTTGGATCTCTACCAAAGCAGCTTCTTCTTTTGCCTCAGTCCCTTGATTTTGAAAGAACAGTAGATAGAGTAAATTAATGAATAGAGTATAGGACTTAGAATCAAGAGACCTGGGTTTGAATCATATCTCAGATACATAATAGCTACGTGCTCATGGACAAGTTTCTTAAAGGCCCAGAGCTTTAATGTGTAAAATGGAGTGATAATAGTATTTGCACCATCCACTTCACAAGGTCATTTTGAAGAAAGTATTTAGCAAACTTTAAAGGACCCTATAAATGTGAGCTGTTAGACTCAGCAAGGAGTGGAAGAAATGGTGTCAAGATGTTGAAGTCAGAAGTCACAACTGCCAAACCTCCCCCCAGAACCTCTTCAACAGCTACAGAAAACACTCTAGGTCAAATTCTGAGTGCAAACCCAAATAAAAATCACAGACTGTCACTTCTCCAGCCCAGGGAAACAAGACAAGAAACAAGGTCTATGGACACAGGAGAGGCCAATAGCACGGTGCCACTGAAGTGGCACCAGTGGTGACGGGCAGCACCAGGCTGTGGCCAAAGCAGTGAAGAGTAGCCAATGTTCAGGGACGGTAGGGGGCTTGAAGACCTAGGCAGAAACATTCCGGGGGACCCCCTGTACCAGCACTGGGAGCAGAAGCAAGTGCAACGTGGCAGCTTTCACCTATTACCAAGTCCTGGGTCACAGTTCCGGGGCAGAGGAGCAATCACGGTCACGAAGAAGCAGAGACCCTACATGCGTAAAGGCAAGAGCATAGACCAGCAGGGCAGTAACTAGCTCTCTCTCTGGATCACGCTATGTTGGAAGCATTAAAAGCTTAAGAGGCACCCACTGAGCTATAAAAGCAGCAGGAGGACACAAAGACAGAAGATCAGACCAGAGCTCAACTCTAACATAAAGTCCAATGTCAAGAAATAGGCTGGAAAAATTAGCAAACAGAAACAACAACAACAAATCTGACCATTAAAAGCTACTATGGTGACAGGGAAGTTCAAGACACAAAAACTGAAAAGACAATGCCTTAAAAACCTCTATAAGCAAAGCATCAAAGAAAATGCAGATAGGACACAAGCCCAACAAGAACTCATAAAAGAGCTAAAGAAAGATTTAAAAAGAGTTTTAAAAAATTTTTAATCAAATATGAGGGGCAGTGGGAAAATGAGACAATAAATGAGAGCTATGTAAGAAAATTATGAAAAGGGAATTAACAGCTTGTTAAAAGAGGCACCAAAAAGTGCTGAAGAAAATAACTCCTTAAAAATAAAAATTAGCCAAATGGTGAAAGAGGTACGAAACCTCACAGAAAAAAAAAAAAACAACTCCTTAAGAATTAAAATTAAACAAGTGGAAGCTAAACACATTCAAAAGACTTTTTTTAAAAATAGAAGAAAATGTGAAATATTTCATAGGGAAAACAACTGACCTAGAAAACAGATCAAGGAGAGATAGTTTAATAATTATTGGTCTACCTGAAAGCCATGAACAGAAAAGAGCCTAGACATCATATTTCAAGAAATTTTATAAAGGAAAATTGCCCAGATATCTTAGAAACAAAGGACAAAGTAGAAATTGAAGGAATGTACTGATCATCTCCTGAAGGAAATCCCCAAATAAAAACTGTCAGGAAGATTATAGCCAAAAATCTAGAGCTCTCAGATCAAGGAGAAAATACTGCAAACAGATAGAAAGAAATAATTTAGATATCATGGAGGCACAGTCAGAATAATACAAGATCTAGCAGCTACCTCTATAAAGGAGCAGAAGGCTTGGAAAATGATAGTCCAAGAAGGCAAAGGAGCTAGGATTACAACCCTGTAAAACTGAGTATAATGCTATGGGGTGAGGGGTGGGGATGGCAAGGATGTAATGAAACTGAGGATTTCAAAGCATTCTTGATGAAAAGACCAGAGCTAAATAGGAATTTTGACATTCAAATATAAGAATCAAGAGAAGCATAAAAAAGGTAAACATGAATGAGAAATCATAAAGAACTAAAAGTGAAAGTATTTACATTCCTATATGGGAAGATATAACACACAAAACATAACATATATAACACAAAACATGTAAGAACTGTGTCACCATTAGGGGAGTTAAAAGGAGTCTGCTTAGACAAAGGGCATGGATACTATTGCCTATTATGCTGTGATTATCTCAAAAGAAAAATGGAAGGATGAAAAAGAGGGATGCACTGGGAGAAGGAGAAGGGAGGGGAAGAATGGAGGAAATTGTCTCACATAAAAAGACATACAAACAAGAGTTCATACAATGGAGGAGAAAATTGTGGAGGTAGCAAGCAACACTTGAACACCACTCTCATCTGAACTAGTTCAAGGAGGAAAGAATAAATAAATACACACACAAAGTCACACACATATACATACATAGATACACACACAGGTATAAAGATTCATCTTACCAATAGGGAAGCGGGAGGGACAGGGGATAAGAGAAAGTGGGGGGAGGGATAAGAAGAAGGGTAGATTAAGGGAAGCAATGGTCAGAAGCCTCCTTGAGGAGAGGGCAAGATTAAAAAAAAGAGAAAAATAAATATAAGAGAATAGAATGGTGGGAAATACACAATAGGCATTACAAGAGCAGACTATATGAGAAACCAGAATCCGACAATATGTTGTCTACGAGAGGCACTTGAAACAGAAAGATACACATAGAGTTAAAATAAAGGGCTAGAGCAGAATCTTTATTCTTCAGCAGAAGTGGAGTATTGGATAAGGGGTGAGGGATACAGTGAAAGAACTCTGTTTTGGGGATCAAAAAGTCTAAGTGTGAAACCTGTCTCTGTTACTACCTTTTGACCCCGGGGCAAATTAGTTCCCCTCTCTAGGGCTACAGTTTTCTCATCTGTAAGATAGAATGCCAGATTCTAAAGACCCTCTCAGCATATAAAGCACCACCCTCTTATCACAGAAGTGAGCACTGATCACTCCCATTCTATTCTGACATATAGTTTCTTGTGCCTTTTACCCTAGCAGAGCCCATTCTTGTTTCACTGTGTCACAGTTGCTTTGGAGCCAGACAAGCAGAAGTTCAGGAGAGCCATATATCTCAGCTTGATCCAGGAAAAACTCCCTAAAGTTTGAGCTGTCTAAAAAATGAGATAAGCTGCCTTTACAGGTAGTGAGTTCCCCATCACTGATTGTCTCCCAGCAGAGGTTGGTTGGTTGTTATCTGTCAGGCACCATCGACAAGATAGACTCCTAGCTGTGAATCAATACAACCATTTTGGAAAGCATTTTGGAATTATAGAAATTGAATAATTAATAATGTCCATTCCTTTTGACCCATAGATCACATTATTAGGCATATACTCCAAGGAAGAAATCGATAAGAAGAAAGTTTCCATATAAAAATAACAACTACAACAAAAATAATAATAGCTAGCATTTAAGGTTTAAATGTTTTAAGTGATTTAGGGTGGGTAAAACACTGTACATATGTTAGGTTATTACATTTAACCTTCACGATGACCTTGTGAGGTCTTTGCTGTTATTTTATTTTACAGATGAGGAAAGTGAGGCAGAGAAAGGTTGTGACTTGCCTTGGGTCACAGAGCCCAGTAAATGTCTGAGGTGGGATTTGAACTCAGTTCATCTTGACTCCAAGTCCAGCCCTCTTACCCACTTTACGCCCTAGCGATCTCCATACATACCAAAAGTAGCACTTTTTGTGGTAGTAAAGACATGAAAGCAAAGGTGTACATCAATTGGGCTAAACAAATTGTGGTACATGAATATAATAATTGCATATTCCTGTGCTGTTGGAAATGACAAATGTGATAAATATAGAGCAGCATGGAAAGATAATTTACATAAACTGAGTGCAAAGTGAAGTAGCAGATCCAAGAAAACAATATACACAATAACTACCATAATGTCAGTAGAAAGAACAACCAGAAAACAATTGAAAAGGAATGTTACAAAATTGCACAAAGCCCGCAGGGACTCAGAGAAGTGATATGAGACGACACCTCCCTCACCTCTTTTACAGAGGTTAAAGGTCCACAGATGTAAAAGACCATTGTGTGTATTTCCAGTCTTTTTGACATATTAATCAGTTTTGCTGATTTTTTTCTCTTCCTCTTTTTTTCTTTAGAAAATATTTTTGTTATATGGGATGGCTTTTTGGGAGAGAGGAGGAAAAAGGATACTGGCAAAAAATTGGGCAATGTGAAAACAAAAGATATCAATTTAAAATAACAGAGAGAGAGAGAGAGAGAGAGAGAGAGAGAGAGAGAGAGAGAGAGAGAGAGAGAGAGAGAGGGAGGGAGGGAGGGAAAGACAGAGAGACAGAGACTCCTGTGTGGAAATCCGTGAACTAGAATAAGACACTCTGTGCAGACCATTTCAGTGAAGAACAAGGGAAGGAGAAACAAAAGAGAGATTGTGATGGAATCATATTATAGGCCACCTGGCCAGGAGGCAGAACTGAATGATGAGTTGCAGAGACAGAATACAAACCTGGCACGGAGCAGGATCCAGGAGGGTCTCCACGTCTCTCGAAATCTGTTAGAGTTCTCTTTGCCAGAGACAGAGAAGTTGATTCTTCACTTGCGTTGCTTCTAATTTTATCCTCCAGAGAGTGAGAGAACTGCGATTTTGAATGACCGACTGATCAGGAAGAACAATTGAGGGAGATGTCATCATGGTGTAGTTGAAAGAGTGCTGGATTTGGAGTGAGAGGACCCAAGCTCATGTTCTGACTCTGCCGCTTACTACTTATGTAGTGATCCTGGTCTGCTCCTTTTACCTCTCTGGGCCTCCCTTTCCTCAGCTCTGAAATAAGAAACTTGAACTCAGTAACCTCTAAGGTATCTTCCAGATCTAAAGCTATGAGCTATGATCCTATGAAAATTCATAGGTAGCTAGGTGGCATGATGGATAGAGTGCTAGATCTAGAGTCAGGAATACCTAAGTTTAAATCCCGTCTATGTGACTCTGAGCAAATCACTTCACTTCTGTCTGCCTCAGTTTTCTCATCTGTAAAATGGGGATAAAAATTATGCCTGCCTTCCAGAGTTGTTGTGAGCATAAAATTAGATAATATATGTAAAGCACTTTGCAAACCTTGAAGTGCTATATAAATGCTAATTAATATTATTCTTCGGGCGAAATTAGCTCGAGGGACATGTGACTCTCTTGAACAACATTCTGATTACACAAATACAAATGATTCTGATTAGGAAGAAAACGGAACATCATCTAAAGAGACCAGTAGAAATGCCTAAGGTTGGGTGCATATTGACACTGTTAGACTTTAAAGAGATGTGCATATCCCAAAGACACCCAAAAAAAGGGAAAAGGACCTATGTGTACAAAAATATTTATAGTAGCTCTTTTTGTGGTGGCCAAGAATTGAAATTCCAAGGGATGCCCATCAACTGGAGAATGGCTAAACAAGATGTGCTGTGTTATTGTGATGGAACATTATTGTGCTATAAGAAATGACAAGCAGGACGATTTCAGAAAAACCTGGAAAGACTTACATGAACTGATGCATAGTGAAGTGAACAGAAGTAGGAGAATGTTGTATGCAGTAACAGCAGTATTGTTTGATGAAGAATTGTGAATGACTTAGCCATTCTCAGCACTACAATGATGTAAGACAATCCCAAAGGTCTAATCATGAAGCATACTCTTCACCTCCAGAGAAAGAAGTGTATTGATTAAATACAGACTAAAGCGTGCTATTTTTCACTTTCTTTCAACTTTTTCCTGTAATTTGAGTCTTTTTGTACAAAATGACTAATATGAAAATATTTTACATAATTGCACATGCATAACCTATATCTGATTGCTTACTGTCTCAGGGAGGAGGGGAAGGGGGGGGATAGAATTTGGAACTCAAAACTTTAAATAAAAGTGTCAGAAAATTGGAAAAAATAAAAATAGGTGTACAGAAGATGGAAGCAAAGACAGGCAATGGAAAATTAATACAAAGGTGTGTCAGAACTCTGAAAATTTAGAGATAGGAGGGCAAAAGTTGAGAAAAGGCTCGGACTGGTGAGGAATGCAAAAGAAAGCAAAAAGGACTTTTTAGGTCTATCAGAGACGAAGAAAAGAGCAAGGGTGAAGAAAGGACTCGTTGGAGTGGACCGACTAATGATGAGAGATGATAGAAGGCAGAATTCTTTTTTTATTTTTGTTTACTCAGGAGAAATGATCTTCACACTGGGAAGTATAGAACAAAAGTGTCTCATGGAAATAAAGTCCAAGATGAGTAAAGAGTTGTTGGGGGAGCACCAAGCTTAGGGAGCTCAAGTCATCAGGACCCAGATGAGCTACTCTGAGCTTCAGTGAGTGAGCTTGAAAAATTCTGGAGCGTAATTGGCACTAGAAGAGGGCTCTAGTCTTCAGAAAGGTGTGGAGTGTTCAGACTCGAGGCTGATGGCAAAATTCTAGAATGTATTGTTAAAGGCAGAGATTGTGAACCTTCGGAAGGAGGAGCAGTGATCGCTGTCGGGGTGTATCAAGAATATTTCACAACATTTTTGGTAAGATGGAAGGGGACTCCTACTCCCCTTTATCGCTCAACAAAAGCCATAGAAAATACTGCTAAGAAAAAGAAAAAGGAAAGCAGAGAGAAGAAAATTCCTTTTTTTTTTTTTGAGATCGTCTCTTTCTCTTCGGCCTGGACATGCAATAGCTACACACTGGTCTGTGCCCGCTCCTGATTGGTATGGAAGTTTTAAATAGCCCTGTGTCTGACTGGGGCTGCTTCAAGCCTCCTTAAGCAGTCTGGGGGCCCTAGCTCCCAGGGGCTCACCATAGTGGTTCTAGACTTAATGTAGACACCTAATTGACTTTAGCTCAGAACTCCTGAGCTCCAACAATTCACCAGCCTCAGCCTCTCCTAGCAGCAGAAGCTACAGAGGCATCTCCGGGAAGCATGCACATTCTTTTCTTTTCTTTTCTTTTCTTTTAATTAAAAGAGAGACCTGGGGGGCAGCTAGGTGGCGCAGTGGATAGAGCACTGGCCCTGGAGTCAGGAGGACCTGAGTTCAAATCCGACCTCAGACACATAACACTTACTAGCTGTGTGATCCTGGGCAAGTCACTTAACCCCATTGCTTAGCTAAAAAAAAAAAAGAGAGAGAGAGAGACCTAGCTGGTGATACAGACACAGTAGCCACCTTAGCTTCCTGCTTCCTGCCCCTGCCTCAGACACTGACTGATGTGTTCCCTAGGACTGAGAAGGCGAGTTGCCCCAGCTGCTACAGACATCTCCTGAGGGTCGTGGGCTGGAGAGAGACATCTGAACTTCAACTGACATGCCTTCCATGGACTAGAGTGGGACGGGGACAGACAGCCTAGAAGACAGATCTCGGGAAGAGGACCAGAGCTCTTATAGCCTCTCCTATGGACACCAGTATCCTCTGGGCCTCTCGCCTCACTCCCATCTGGGGTGGAAAGAATTAAGGGTGGAGCCGCTGAAGGGAACCCTCCCTGCTTCTGTAAGCTGTCCTAGAGCTGGGATAGAGGGCAAGTATGGGGGCATCTGCAGAGGTGCCCAGAGGCAAAAAATTGCCAGGGAAGCAACAACATTTGCACTGGAAGGGGCCTAAAGTATCCAGCCTGCCCCTGCCTCTGTCCCCCAGCTAGGACAGGCCAGACCATCTCCCTTGTGATCACAGCTTGAAACACCCTCTAATCCTGTATATAATAATAGCTAGCATTTATATTGTGCTTTGAGATTTGCAAAGCCCTTTATACATATTATTTGATCCTCACAACAACTTTGTGAGGGAGGTTCCCTTATTATCCTCATTTTCAAGATAGGGAAAGAAACTGAGGTTAAGAGGTAAAAGGATTTGCCCAAGGTCATACAGCTTATAAGTGTCCAGGTGGGATTTGAACTCGGGTCTTCCTAAATCCAGACTCAGTGGGAAGAGTGCCAGATTTTGGAGTCAGAGGACCTGTATTCAAGTGTTGAAGCCATCTAATGCAACCCCTATATGAGGAGACTGAGGCCCAGGGGGTTGTGATGTGTGTTAGGTCACGTGAGCAGTATCAGAGGCAGGATGTGAACCCAGAGTCAGTGTCTTTTCCAATCTACCAGGCTTCCTCTGGCTACATCCATGCCCGCTGTCCATGGGGGAAAGGGAGATCATCAGAAACCCCAAACCATCTTGCTAGTTGCATGACTGTGCACAAGTCACTTAAATTCTCTGGGACTCGGTTTCTTCGTCTCTTAAATAAAATAGCTAGACTAGATGATCTCTTCCAGCTCTGAGTCTATGATCTTATGATTTGCCTTTTTCAAATATTAAAGCAGAAGAATTTTTTTTTCCATTGAAGCAAGAAGGTGGGGGCAGGGAGGTGGGTTGTGGTGTGGAGATAAATTGATGGATAACATCCAAGTCAAAGGAATATTCTGCCTTGGTAAAGAAATTCTGCAATATTTAAAACCCAAGGGACAAAACTAATGCAGACTAGCTAGCTGAATCTGCAACAAAAGGAGGGAGAAGAAATGCCAAAAGATAAAATAAATTAAATAATAAACATATTAAAGAAATTGAAAGCAGATTCTAATGGAGGGGGTGGGGGAAGGCAAGAGAAGAACAAAGGAACCACTGACAAAAATGCAAAGCGTCGAAGGAGACTTGAAACGTTGGCAGAGGAAGCAAAAACAGAAGAAACGGAGTCAAGCGAGCTCAGTGGGCAATGAGGAGGAGATGGAAGAGCAAGCCTCGGCGCTCATGTTCCTCCAAACAAATGAGCAGCCCTCGCCTGAGTCTGTGCGAGACACAGAGGAAGCTGCAGTGAGAGATTTTAGAGAGAGGTTAGGAAGCTAGTGCCCTGCCATGGGCTCCTCTGGCTGACACCTGATGGGGGAAACATGGTGTTAAAGGGATAGTGGGACAGTGATACAATGGGGGGGGGTGAGAGACAGAGACAGAGACAGAGAAGAAGAAGAAGAAGAAGAAGAAGAAGAAGAAGAAGAAGAAGAAGAAGAAGAAGAAGAAGAAGAAGAAGAAGAAGAAGAAGAAGAAGAAAGAGGAGGAGGAAGAGGAGGAGGAGGAGGAAAGGAGGAGGAGGAGACGGAGGGAGGGAAGGAGAGGGAGGGAGGGAATAGGAGAGGAAGAGAGGGAAGGAGAGAGAGGAAGAGAGAGAAGGGAGACAGAGAGTGAGAGAGAAGAAAAGAAAAGAGAAGAGAGAAAAGGAGAGGAGAGGAAATGAGGGAGGGATGGAAAGAGAAAGAGGAGAGAAAAAGCCAAAAAGAGAGAGAAGGGAGAGAGGAGAGAAGACAGAGAAAGGAGGGAGAGAGAGAGAGAGAGAGAGAGAGAGAAGGAGGAGGAGGAAGGATGACAGGGAGGAGAAGATAGAGGGAGGGAAGGAGAGGGAGGGAGGGAATAGGAGAGGAAGAGAGGGAAGGAGAGAGAGGAAGAGAGAGAAGGGAGACAGAGAGAGAGGAGAGAGAGAGAGAGAGAGAGAGAGAGAGAGAGAGAGAGAGAGAAGAAAAGAGAAGAGAGGAGAGGAGAGGAAAGGAGGGAGGGATGGAAAGAGAAAGAGGAGAGAAAAAGCCAAAAAGAAAGAGAAGGGAGAGAGGAAAGAAGACAGAGAAAGGAGAGAGAGAGGGAGAGAGAAAAA